GAGGTCTTCCATAAGGTGCTTATCAGGACTGATTAGTGGAGGTCTTCCATAAGGTGCTTATCAGACCTGATTAGTGGAGGTCTTCCATAAGGTGCTTATCAGGACTGATTAGTGGAGGTCTTCCATAAGGTGCTTATCAGGGCTGATTAGTAGAGGTCTTCCATAAGGTGCTTAGCAGGCCTGACTAGTAGAGGTCTTTCATAAGGTGCTTATCAGGGCTGATTAGTAGAGGTCTTCCATAAGGTGCTTAGCAGGCCTGACTAGTAGAGGTCTTCCATAAGGTGCTTATCAGGACTGATTAGTGGAGGTCTTTCATAAGGTGCTTATCAGGGCTGATTAGTGGAGCTTTAGACAGTTGTGGTTCGGTATTATTTTAATCCTGTCAACCATTGGCCAATTTTCTAACGGTATTATTCCAATTCATTCAATCATCAGTGAATTCTCGTACGGTATCATTTGATGCGTTTTCTGAAGCAATGAATGGTTACCGCTCGGCTAATTTGAATTTATTTAATGGTCACTGAAATGGTTCAATTTGCTATAGTCATTGGAGATGCCGCATAGCATGAACATACTCTCACTACAACGCCTGGATAGTGTTCCACCAGGTGCATCTGTGCACATGTTATTACCGCCCTTGACTGCACAGGTGCGACGGGACTTGTCAACGTCTGCACATGTTATTACCGCCCTTGACTGCGCAGGTGCGACGGGACTTGTCAGCGACTGCACATGTTATTACCGCCCTTGACTGCGCAGGTGCGGCGGGACTTGTCAGCGACTGCACATGTTATTACCGCCCTTGACTGCGCAGGTGCGACGGGACTTGTCAACGACTGCACGTGTTATTACCGCCCTTGACTGCGCAGGTGCGACGGGACTTGTCAACGAGTCAACGACTGCACGTGTTATTACCGCCCTTGACTGTGCAGGTGCGACGGGACTTGTCAGCAGCGTTCCGGACTGCAGCTTGTCAGCAGCCGAGTCTCACCTGGCGTCTGGTGGAGGAGAAGTGCGACGAGATGCTACGTCTCCCGCAACCTGACGCGCCAGCCTCGTCTGGTGCGGGCACTGACACTCGTCAGAACCCGTGGCTCTCCTACCAGCGACAGTGGGAAGTGCTGTGCTTTGTGAGTTCTGGATCTACGTTTAAATTTTCCTAGCACAGAAAAATCAATATCTAGTTTCTTAATACGGTATTTCTGTTGTCTCTTCTCAAGCATTTGCTTCTCATGTAGACAATTACCATGGTTAATAATTCTTTATGTACGTAGAAAATAATACAATATTCTCCCTCGTTAAAGCCGTAAGTTTTATTTGGAGGAATTTGATAATTCCTCGAAGTAGTCTTAATTTCGTTTATCAATAAATTCATATTTTAGGATAATCACACTAATAAGATAGGTACATGGCTGTTTAAGGGGGCACATCTAAGTTCTGTGAATGAGCAATTAAGCAATAGCAAATGCTATTAAGCTTGACATAATGAAATTGTGGTAATGAAGCATGACTCAATATAATTGTATGGATTGAATGATTATGTGATACATGCGCGACCCAATCTTAATGTGATAGGGACTGACATAATGTAATTGTGATAATAATGTTGGACTTAACGCACCTATATAATTGTGATAATAAAGGTTGACAAAACGTATATAATTGTGATAATAAAGCTTGACATAACGTATATACCGGTAGTTGTGATAATAAAGGTTGACATAACGTATATAGTTGTGATAATAAAGGTTGGCATAACGTACATAATTGCGATAATACAGCTGGACAAAGTCTTAACTATCGCCTATTGAACTATGGCAGTTAAGTCTTAACTATCACACGTATTTAATTGTGATAATAAAGCTTGACATAACGTATATAATTGAGGTAATAATGCCTGGCCGTGCATGTGTGCAGCTGGTGGAGTGGATCATGAGAAGCCAGCCTCGTGACGTCGAGCACGGAGCAGAGGCCGTTGCGTGCGGCCTGCGAATGCTTGCAAGTTTCTTGGAGTTCAGTTCAGACGACGACAAGGTCATGTTCAGCCTCCTGTCGTGCATCAGCAACCTCTTCCCGTTCATAGTTCACCAGCCAGCCACCCTCACCCCGGTCTTCAATAAGATCGTGAACCCGCTGCTCGTGTACAGTCGTTGCAGTGACCCAAAGACTGTACAGAAATCAACCAAAGAATTAAGAAGACACTGCGGCCTGCTAGTGGCCCGTCTGGCTAAGCTTTATCCCACGATCATGCTGCCCGGCTTATCCTGCGTAGTCGATATCTTCAAGGAACTCAACAGCAGCGCTAACCGTCTTACTGTTCTTGAGCTCACGGCCTTGCAAGAAGCCCTTATCCTGATCAATAACGCTCGTAATAACTATGCCGAGCAGCAAGCTTTCATTGAGACTCAGATACAGCCCATCAGAGATTTTTTTGAGCAAGCCAAACAACATTTTACCGCATCATTCGAGTTCATGAAGTTTGTCGGCATTGCTAATGAGACAGAGACGCCCGAAGAAGAAGCGGTGATCATTAGCAATAGGTACAGACTCACTTACGCCCTTAAAATTCTAGAAGCAATTGCCAAAAAGTCTCGACCGCCTCAGGACAAGTCGGTGCGTGCGGCAGGAGGCTTTATCGTTGAAATAAACGATGGTGCGAGTATAAAGGAGGTTACCCGCAACCCTTGTTGGCAATCTGCCGTGTCGCTGCTGCACAACGTCATGTCGCTCACACGCGTGAGCAACAGTCTGTGTCTGCCTGAGAGCACAGCAGCGCTCCCTCCAGTGCTCACTTCTGCTCATCAGCTGCCCATCAGCGACAAGCTCACCATCTTGATGCTCAAACAGAAGCCTTTGTCGGAAGAAGCTCAACAGGTTGGATATTGCTGAGCTGCTTTAAATACGTGCTATTCTCGTCCAATTCTTCTTGATGGACTTTAATGCATCTTCAATGCCGTTACTATCATCATTCTAAATTATTTTGATTTACTTAATATCCATCAGGGTAATCCATTTTACTTGCCATAGGTATGTACTAAAAAGTTCACATTCTTAGAAGCACTTTTCTTGAGCAATATTCAGCAATTCATGTGGGTAGTGATATCTATCGACGGACCTCAGCTTTAACACGAAACACGGGTATGGGATATTTATTTCTTACACGTTCACATATATTTTTGCAGTAGGTAACAATTGTAGTATTTACCTACATATTTACATAATGGTCATGTTAATTAAAATTCATCTAGATTGTTCCCTATCAAAACATGGTCGTGCTTGTAAGTTGTTTAATCATTGAATTGGGAACTCTTAAGACATATGGAAGTATTTCTCATCTTTTCACGACTATAATGACTGAAATCTGAGCCTGTGCCTCCACGAGGCTTCTCTTGGTATATCCTTTACTAAAAGTACATATTTATTTAATACCTACTTTATATTAATTTAAATTATGAGTACACAGTGTAAAGGGTTTGCTCTTTACTACTCGAGGCTGCGGAGGGTCGCACTCGACGAGCTCAGGCGTACCTGCACCTGCTGCACGAGACGCTGCTCTCGTGTCTCGCTGAGCTCTGCCGCTGCTGTCATCCTGAGGTCTTCTACAGGACAGACAACTTATTGCAGTACACCCTGCAGGCGCCCCTACACTGCATGGAGGTCATGCCTCACTACAGGCGAGTGTTAAATGTAGTGTACAGTCTAGCATTCACCTTAGTTCACTGCACTATTATGCCACAGTACAGGCGAGTGTCGACTGTACTGTAGTCTAGCATTCACTTTAGTTCATCACACTATTATGCCTCACTACAGGCGAGTGTCAACTGTACTGTACAGTCCAGCATTCACTTTAGTTCATCATACTATTGTGCCACACTACAGGCGAGTGTCAACTGTACTGTAGAGTTTAGCATTCACCTTAGTTCATCACACTATTATTTGATTAAAAACACATTATTTTCTACTGGACATTAATTAAACATATCGCTTGGGTGATGGGTACCTATATTTCTGTCATTAGATGATCTTTCTATGATGATTGATGATGCGATATGTGATAATTGGATTATTTTAGTCTTCTTCTTTAATAATCTTCTGAATCGTTTAATGTTATCATGTTTTTCAAACCGTATTTCCGTTTTCAAAATATAATAAACTTGGTAATTTTGTTGTTACGAACTGTGTAATTTTAATTTTTATAGTTGCTGTCAAAAACGCTAATTCAAAATATCGAAACCTTGCGATTAAATGTGTTATCGAGAAAATCCAGTTATCGATTCCTGTGGATTTACAAGGTAATTCTCTTGGATTTATCCCTACATTGAACATTTTCCATGAATGTGAGTTGTCGTTGAGCCTGCAATGATTTTTTGAGAGTGTGCTCACTTCAGTCAGTGCTCATAGCAGTCTGTGTGCTCATGGCAGTCTGTGTGCTCATGGCAGTCTGTGTGCTCATGGCAGTCTGTGTGCTCATGGCAGTCTGTGTGCTCATGGCAGTCTGTGTGCTTATGGCAGTCTGTGTGCTCACGTCAGTCTGTGTGCTCATGGCAGTCTGTGTGCTCATGGCAGTCTGTGCTCACGAAGTGTGTGCTCATGTGCTCACGCAAGTGTGCTCATCATGGCGTGCTCACGCACGTGTGCTCATGGCGTGCTCGCACAAGTGTGCTCATGGCGTGCTCGCACAAGTGTGCTCATGTGCTCACACAAGTGTACACATGTGCTCACGCCAGTGTGCTCACGTGCTCACACAAGTGTGCTCACGTACTCACGCAAGTGTGCTCATGTGCTCACACAAGTGTGCTCACGTGCTCACACAAGTGCTCACGGCAGGCTGCGCGGCGTGCTGCGTATGCTGCTGTCGCCGTGGCTGGTCAACTGCCCCCCCAGCGCCCAGCGCTCCTTCGTGCTGCCCGTCCTGCAGCTCGTCACCAACAACAGTCTGTGTTATCATCTTGTTATTTTATATGTCCTTAAACTTGCATGAATATGCTTAAGATCTTGTTATTTTATATGTTCTTATACTTGCAGGAATACGCCTTATTTCAAGTTATTTGTACTGGTATAAGCTGGCATACTTCGTACTCTTATAAACAGGCATAGTTCTTACTCTTATAAACAGGCCTAGTTCTTACTCTTATAAACAGGCCTAGTTCTTACTCTCATAAACAGGCCTAGTTCTTACTCTCATTTACCTGTCTCTTATACACATCTAGATGTGTATAAGAGACAGCTTATAAACAGGCCTAGTTCTTACTCTCATAAACAGGCCTAGTTCATACTCTTATAAACAGGCCTAGTTCTTACTCTCATAAACAGGCCTAGTTCCTACTCTCATAAACAGGCCTAGTTCTTACTCTTATAAACGTGCTTTGTTCTCACTCTTACGTTTTCCTGTTTCTTACTATTATTAACAGGCTCAATATTCAAGCAAAGAACTACCTTGTTTAAATGTTTCAGGGGCTAATCAAGCCATTGTAGTTCTCATTACCGCTTCTCATTATCGGTTCTCATTATCGGTTCTCATTATCGCTAATTCTCGTGTCCTCGTGGCCAATGGTCATGGAAATTCATCGAACGATTATGTAAAAGATTTTTGTTTCGTCAGTTTTTCATCATGTTTGAAATTGGAATAGTTTTGCTTGATAAGAAATAATTATATTTTCGCCAAGCTGCAACCGTCCGTTCTTCGCAAGATAAAACTTGCTCCCGAGCAAAGAACGAGATCATTAGGAAAGAATATGAGTCAATCAGCAATTACCTTGACTTACTAGAATAAGCATTGAGTCAGTCAGCTATTATGATTCAGTCAGCAATTATTAGGAAACAAAATGAGTAGGTCAGCAACTACCTACTGGGTTCAAGTATTCTAAAGATTTCTGTACCCATCAGCCCAATTCACACTTCAAGCTCATCAAGGCGGGCATTTTTTAAAAGATCAAAGACTAATATGCTTCAGTGCAGGGAATTGTGTTATTGAGCCTTCTAAAACGCATAAATCTTTATTGTTCCTGACATTTAGTGGTAAATAGAAGCACCGAAGTTGTAATTCTTTACAAGTTTAGTGGTAATGTGCAAATGTTTGAATGGGGAATTGTGTTATTGAGCCTGCTATAAGGCACAAATTTTTATTGTTCTTGACATTTATTAATATTAAATACAAGTACGTACCGAGGTTGTAATGCTTTACAAGTTTAGTGGTAATGTGCAAATGTTTGAATGGTAAATACAAGTACCGAGGTTGTGATTCTTTACAAGCTTAGTGGTAAGGTGCAAATGTTTGAATGGTAAATACAAGTACAGAAGTTGTAATTCTTTTCACAAATACAAGTACCGAGGTTGTAATTCTTTACACGTTTAGTGGTAATGTGCAAATGTTCGAATGGTAAATACAAGTACAGAAGTTGATTTCTTTACAGATTTAGTGGTAATGTTTAAATGTTTGTGCAGTGAACAAGTTTTTTGAAAGACGCTGGAAAAGCGTGGACGGCTCCCGTCAACTGCCGGCGATGGACGACGAAACTTTGGACGAGGACGAGCCTCAGGACGGCGCCCTGAGATCAGGTCTGCTCAGTCAGGAGCTGGAGGAGCTCTTGGACGTGCAGCTGCTGCGTCTCCTTAACAGGGACTACCTCGATGTGAGCGTCTTGTTCTGTGTCAAGTCGTAAATATTTGTTCAGTTATTGTATGAGCCATGTATTGTATTAGCCATGTATTGTATGAGCCATGTATTGTATAAGCCACGCCCTGTGTCAAGTCCTGCATAATTGTTCACTCATTGTATGGGCCCTGATATTTGTTCAGTCATTGTATGGGCCCTGACATTTGTTTAGTCATTGTATGGGCCATGCACAAATACTGTACCGGTACTTGTTATTGGTGATGTGAGGTACCGGTACGTAGTGTAAAGTGATGCAAGTTCTCACATTCATTTTCGTATTCCTGCACCAATATTGTATTCGGTGATGTGAGCTATCACATCACCGAAAGAATATGCACCATTGACTCACATCAATGGTGCATATTCTTCCATTATTTTTCCTACTTCTGCACCAATAGCAGTTTTTGTTGATGTAGCTTACCATATACTGTTATTTAATTAGAGTTTTTACAGTTTCTACGGGCGGTTCTTGTGCAAGCGCCTCGGAATAAGTTATCAGAAGCTGATGACGCAGAGGCTGATGTGAGCGACGTCGCTGATTACACCGACGGCTGCATGAACGAAGTCTCTGTGAAGTGCGGGGATAACTCAACTGAAGACATCACCGACAAAGCGGCCTCTGCACCGGCCAGTGGGAAGCTGACTTCTGCACTTGGCTTGATGATCTTATCGTCGGCGGTGATGCCTCCTGTCATCTCTGCTTTGTTACAGTCAGTGCTGAGACTAGCCGCAGTGTTTGTGACTTTAGTTTACATCTATCGTGAGTTTGATTTGTCAATTTATTAATTGCAGCAATGGTCCTGTAGCTATAATGTGATAACGATATGCCGAGACTCTTTGCAGTGTTTGTGGCTTTAATTTACTACTATCGTGAGTTTGATTTGTTAGTGTCTTAATTTCAGCAATGGTTTTGTAGCTATAATGTGATACGGTACCGATATTTCAGGACAAATTTTCCTCTAACTATAAATGGTTGTTGGATTTGAGGTACAAAATTATGGCTCAGCTGCTGCCACGTCATCTTTCTAGCTGAGCTTCGGTATGATTTTTGTTTTTCTCCCTTTATTTTGTTTCCCCTAAAGGCTGGTTTGAGAAAAGTTATTTAAAATTGCAGTCTACTTATCGGCTGCTATTTCAATAATTTACCACATTAGCTGTTTCTACGCTGGTGCTGTAGTTGCAGTTACTTATCAGCTGCCATTTTAATAATTTACCACATTAGCTGTCTCTACGCTTGTGATGTACTTTATTTTGACCCCAATATTAATCATCACCAACCATTTGCACGGCAGGAGCCTGTCGTGTCCGGACAGTCAGTGCTGTCTAAAAGCGTGCGGGTTGCTTACCGTCTGTCTGCCGACGATGGACGTGTCGCAGCTGACAGACGACGACAGCTGTGGGCTGCTGCGGGCCATGCTGACAGGTCTGCAGGTGCACGGTCAGCACGCTGAGAACCTGCAGGCCATGCTCGCCTGCGTGCTGCTCTGCTACACCACACTGAGGCCGCACTGTGCTGTCCTGCCTCAGGTCATTCTTGGGCAGCATGAGGAACTTGGATGAAGTTTTGCTGACTCTTGACTGGCTACTGACTACTGACTGGCTGCTGACTGCTGACTGGCCGCTGACTATTGGCTGGCTGCTGACTATTGACTGGCTGCTGACTATTGACTGGCTGCTGACTATTGACTGGCTGCTGACTATTGACTGGCTGCTGACTATTGACTGGCTAACAGGCTGCTGACTATTGACTGGCTGCTGACTATTGACAGGCATCATGAGGAACTTGGTTGAAGTGTTGCTGACTATTGACTGGTCACGCCTTCCCGATATATTGTCTTTAACTGATTTTTGCCTTCAACTAAGCGGCTGCTTCTCTGAGTCAATAGTCAGGTTCATTGATTCTGCTGTCCTAACTAAGCAGAAACGTGAGGTACCGTACGCGATGTAGGTAGGTACATGTTGTAATTCAATATAATTTACATTACATTTTATTTATTGCTGATTCTCATATAGGTAATTCTGGAGTAGTTACAAAAGACTATATCGAAGTAAATTCATTGGTACATATGTTGATTCATAATTTATTGTCAATTTAGGTAAATTAAGTTATTTCATTTCGCTTTTATCTCTCCTGATTTCTACTGTATTTAGAATAAGTTTATTACTCTGCCTACTCTGTACGTTCGTTCCAATTAATTGAAGATAATTAGCGGTGTAAATTTTGCAAAAATTTAATATTTGTTCTAAGCCTGTTGAAAATAAATCATACTAGGGAACTCGAATGTATTTCAAGTTGTATTGGAAACAAGCATTATTTGGAAATCGTTTGCCTAAAGCTCCATCAAGCAGCACAGATTGTTTTGCGTGATAAGAAATGTTATGATATTTTTAAACCCATTTCACGGTCTTTTCTTAATATTGTTTTAATTTAAATCATTTTTTGAGATTCTTAACCCTCAAAATTTCAGAAGGCATTCATCAAATGCCCGTTTAATTCATTTAATATGACCGTAGTGTTGTGTGGTTTAGGATTTGTCAATTACAATAATTTCTGTCTTCGGGAATCAACACCATGGTGTTACATTTAAACTGGTTAATATTTTTGGTGTTAAAATTGTCTTGAATTAATTTCAAATTTTTTGAAGGTCTGAGAAATGTTTATTTTTTGGTGTTATAATTTTCTTGAAAAAAATCGCATTTTTTGAAGGTATGAGAAATGAAAGTTTGATCGCAGGTTCTGACGTCGATATCGACCGACAGCGGCGCGGAGGTCGCCAGCTTCGACGAGCTTGTGGTGCGCGGTCTCTCTGAGGTCAAGAACGCCAAGCAAGACAAGATCAGGAAAGACTCCCTCAAGAAGATTCTCACGCCCGTAAGACAGATTTGTAGCCAGGAATATGTTAGGTTCAAACTAAAGAGGCTTTACTTAAACTCAACTTGCCAACTTTAAATTAGCAATTTTTCAGGCTGTTATCACATTTGTCAGGAAATAAATGGGTGGATCGTGACTAAAATAAGTAATTGGTTGCTGAATGAATGAGATCTCTTGGTCATCTGTGGCCAATCTGGTAGTCATCTGACGTGTGTCTATGCTCAACTGAAGTCCTATAAGATTTTGTGTCCTTGTAGGGATTCTACCTGATCGCCCCACAAGAGAATCGCGGTGTCTGACTGCGAGCCTCGGTTTGGGGTTAAGCTATCGCAGGATTCCTCGAATTCCGTCTTCTCTGTCTCTCTCCTGCGGGCGGCTGACCTCTCGAGTAACCGACCTCTTGTTCGAGTGTCTTCGTTGCCGGTCTCCTGTCCCTCCTTGTCACTTCGTCTTCATTGCCGGTCTCTTGTCCCTCCTTGTCACTTCGTCTTCGTTGCCGGTCTCCTGTCCCTCCTTGTCACTTCGTCTTCGTTGCCGGTCACCTGTCCATCCTTGTCACTTCGTCTTCGTTGCCGGTCACCTGTCCCTCCTTGTCACTTCGTCTTCGTTGCCGGTCACCTGTCCCTTTTTGTCACTTCGTTTCTTGAGATACTAACGCTACTTCTTTCTAATGAGCATCAATGGCCTGGCCACTTCAAACCTTTCTTTGGCGATGTGTGGGCGACCTTGTGGGTGATGAACGATTTAGAAATTTTCTTCAATTTTCGACCTCCGCGGCAAAATAGCTTGATGGCTAAAACGCTAGCAAACCATTCCACTACTGCCCACTCTTCCTTTCGAAGCAGAGTTCAATGAAAGCGTTGTGTGAATTAATGCGTAGTTAATTTATTTATTTCAATTGCACTGGATTCTTACACTCGTTAAATTATCCACGGGCGTCTAATGGGCTGAGTTTGTTTGGATTATTTTCACATTAATGTGAATTTTACTTGATGAAAATGCACCGCGAGATTCGTTGCGGTCAGTAAGTATTGAGTGGATGTCTATTTAATTTAGTGATCATAGTCATGAAGCGGCCCTCGAAATCTCTTGTGAATTTCTTCATTAATCACTCCATCGATTATTGCATTTCGACTGAAAATTCGGTTATGTATCGAAACCGAATTTATAAGCTGTTGCATATATTATTATTATACATAATGTATTTATTATATTTCGAGTGAAAATACGTACGGTTATGTATCAAAACTGAATTATTAAGTTGTTGCCTATTTTATTATTATACATCATGTATTTATTGTATTTCGAGTGAAAATCCGCTGATGTATCAAAACTGAATGTATAAGTTGTTGCCTATTTTATTATTATACATAATGTATTTATTGTATTTCGAGTGAAAATTCGGTTGTGTATCAAAACTGAATTTATAAGTTGTTGCCTATTTTATTATTATACATATAATGTATTGTTTACATTCTTGACATCTTATTAGAATTATTAACGTATGATTATGTTATATTATTATGAATATGTAGCTTTATCAGCGTTGGTGTCGCAGATAACCGGCGTTATCCTGACATTGTATGAATTATTAACGTATGATTTTATGATTATGTTATATTACTATAAATATTTAGCTTTACTATCGTCTGTGTCGCAGATAACCGGCGTGAGCGTAAGCGAGGCGCTGAAGCAGCCAGCGGCCGTGCCGTGCTTGCCGCCGCTGCTGTGGCATCGCCCGCCCCCGCAGCAGCACGACGCCCTCGACGCTCCTGACGCGCATCTCGTCCTCGGCAACCTCTTCTCGTGATCAACTAACTTGCTTCATATTCATGCAATACTTATGCTTTCCTCTTCTCGTGATCCACCAACTTGCTTCATATTCATCCTATTTTTATTCATATTCATACAATACTTATTCTTTCCTCTTCTCGTGATCCACTAACTTGATTCATATTCATCCTATACTTATTCATATTCATACAATACTTATTCTTTCCTCTTCTCGTGATCCACTAACTTGCTTCATGTTCATACTATACTTATTCATATTCATACAATACTTATTCTTTCCTGCCTCTTAGTTATCATGACTAGTGTAGGCAGTCTCGTATATCTTAAGCTTTTGTATAACTATTTATTAGGTAACTGGAATTACAATGCATGCTATAGTCATTTGCTCGAATTTATTCTATTTTACCTAATGAATGTCAGTCAGATAAAGAATCCGGCTTCAGACCTGTCAACTCATTATGTTTTTATCAACCAAGATCATTGCAACTAAAAGGTCGCCCCAGGAGGGCTGACTGCAAATGTTGTTTGTAGTCACGATTTAACCAAGGGATTTCACTTCGATTATGAATTAGGGGATTATGAGGGATTATGGCATAATTGTACGCATGATGCCGTCGATGTTTTAGTGTTGATGTTCTGCAAGATAACGAGCATCACGTCTTAGTCCAGTCAAGTCGATGACAAGACAGGAAACTTGTCTTTCTTAGTTTTGATCTCATAGAAAATATACATCTTAAGAGCTCACAATGTCCAACGATATTTCAGGGATTAGGTTTCTTCATCATTTCGATTACCATGTTGGTTCAAATTCTAACTGGTAGTCTTGGTCTGCTGTTGATGCAGACTTCATTTTTGAATATAGACTAAGATCCATGACATTTTGTGAGGAGATTGGCATTCCATGTACTATTGTAATCCGTTGGGCTGTAAAATAATGTTAAGTTTATACCTGCAAGGCTACCATATTCGTATTCAAAATTGTACCAGTTGAACTGGCATTAATCTGAGATGAATTGATGTCTAAATGGAATGGATGAATTGATTAAAGCTATCAAGCTAGGATCAGGTTCCTATTGTAACACTTTTGCATGTAACAATTAGGAAACTGATACAATTAATACAAACTCGCGGTGTATATTCGTCTCACACAAACAAATGGTTAATTCTTCGGGCATTGTGTGTCATGTGACACGACATCCGAAAAATGTCGTGGCAATGCGACAAGAAAATGAATACTATCATATAATGAATAGAAAAATTAGAACAGTGGTCTAGACGAGTCACTTCTTATCTCATAGGTGATGATCGAGGCGAGGTAAATACTGCCATGTAAATGTTAGGTAATATTAAGTCCTTGTCATTTGCTATGAATGTAGGTTTCAAAAATGTCTATGTTTATTATTCTACCGAAAAATTTTATAGGACTTAGATGTTGAGCATCGCATAAAATTAATCTTGAATTTCATTCATTCTTCAGGATTTTCATAAAAAATTACACGTTTGATGAAGAGATGATAGAACTATTACCATTGATATGTTGATATAGAACCGTTGACTATTATACCTTCCAGGAATAAATTGGCATTACTTTTGAAGAAATGAAATGAGTGAGGAAGAAAGGCTGCTGTAATTTAACTAATGATTAAGTTATGTTATATTTTTCGATATTATTCCAAATGAATTTTGTGTTGAAGGCTGTGTACTTTAGGTCTGACTTTACTGAAATTGAGACTACATTTGCGAAGCAATTTATTCGTCTTTGCTCTTTGCCTGCATCTCCAAAGTTTTATACTTAATTAAACTGAAATGAAACATTCGAAGTTATTTTAGATTTCCCTTCTGAAGTATCACAAAAGTGTCGTATTTAGAGTCAACTTGTTGCTGTTAATTACTGATCTAAACTTAAGCTCAGTTCCTATGCCAATCATACAGAAAGTCATTCTATTCCAAGTTGTACCGAGTTCTCGATCACAGGGCCTATACTTTCAAAAAAAGTGAAAAGATCATAAGTTCATCAGCTAATCATTGGAGGCCTTTCAAGCAAAATCCAGCAATCATAGACAAGGAAATAGAGCGTAAGTACTTACGTTCACTTAGCGAGTTCTGAAAGTATGGCCCCTGAACGCCACATCGTAGCACACTCGCACGTTGTCCCAGTTGCTTGAGGATGCATTTCTTTGTTATTAAGTGGGCTCGCCGGCCTCTAAATCCACCTTCCCCGCTACTGGCAGTTATGCTCCTCTAGCTATTATAGCTGATTGAAATGTTAACAATACGTCCACGGCTCGAGTTACCCTGGCTTTTAAATACGAAGAACTTTTACGATGTTAAATAAATCCGTTTACAAGCATTTTTTTTTTCAGAACTCGCGAGCTGTAGACGATCTTGTGCTGCTAACCCACTTGATTTCTCAACATTCTTGACAATAGTGACTTAATTTAGGCAAAAAATTTGTAGATATTACAAGACAAGCCTTTAAAGTATCGTACTGGAGAGGAAGAACCGTACTACATAACCTCCCTAGTTTCCTGGTTAATTTGACTTAGGCGAGTCGGCAACAATGTTGTTGATGAAGTCTGCGCCGAATTTCTGCTCTGATTACTCAACAACGGAACGAAGCCGGACCTCCAGAAGATAATAAGTTAGTAATCTCAAGTAATAATGTCACTCGTTAGCTTGAATCGCAAATTCACTAAAAACTTAGAACCAAAAAACGGTACAAAAATTCATTCTATTTTTATGGCAAACGTTTCGGGTTCCAGCGCCATCGTCAGTTTGAAAATTCTAGAAGACTGAGAAATCAGTAATTAGTACAGACAAGATTACGAAAAAATACTGATAGGAAAAACTGTCTACTTAAAATTTCAAGCGGGTAAGAGCTAAAGTATAGTATAGTATAGTCAAGGCCTCCATTTAAAAATATACCATAATTCTAAAATGCGCAAATCAGAAACACCGGAAATAAAAGCTAAAACAAGCTTGTTTATTTGTCAAGCAGGTAGACAAACTTCTCGTAATTAAATGCATCATTAAGCTGGCTTCACTCCTGGCCATTTTTGTCTTGATATCCTCTTTGCCAGAGACTTGCCTACTCAAATATTACGGGATATAACTGGTGACAGCTTCTTGCTTACATTGCGATCGGGACCTCGCTGATCAAAATGTGACCACGACGTTTTGAAATAACGTCCACGACTCGAAGATGTGAAGATTCGAATGCGATTACATCGCTTACCATCTTAATAAAGAACGAAGCAGCACGTTTTGGGTTTTGATGACGACGAATCCCTGCAGATTTTGTAGTATTGCTTGTTTAAAGTGAACAATCGGAATAAATGAGTTGTCGTACAAGGGAATCTTTTTTATTTTAAAACAATATTCCTCTCCACAAGTGTTGACAGGGATGGCGTATTGAGGCTGTATGCTGTCAAAATACATATCACTGAGGTTCCTCCTAAGTATTCTTACTCGGACTTTAAAAGTAGACTATTTAAATAATTTAGAAATCGTAAGACTTGATTGCAGGAGTGCTCATTAATATTTTATATCTTGGTATTGACTGAAAACATTGATGAAGGATCGACGCTCGTACAAACGTGCGATATAGAAGCTTCTGTTAGGCCATATGTACTCGTCGCGTTCATCGTAAGATTGTTTTCTCCACCACTCTATTTAACTCAAGTCCATGATGATCATTATAGTTAAAAACTGCTGCTGTCAAGAATATTCACAGCGAAAAAAATTGAGCCTAATGGTGTTGAAAAAAAGATTTGTAATTCTGACAACTTCCATGACAAAAGGAATTTTTTTTGATCAAGTTGACAAATATTTTGTTTATTTTTATACTACTATTAAGAATTTTGTGAAGATGCTCTGTTGTAGGCTTCATTTATTTGTTATCTTATGCAAGATCATTCAAATGAGGAAGAAGCTTATATTCCCCTGAATTATTCATGGCCTCTATGAAACATTCGTGTATCTGAAGCTGAGCCTTGGCATGTTGATTACAATGCTTGCACTGCACGCTACAGGGACCGGTTGCATGACCATCACAGTGCATCATTTGGCTGTGCTCGTGTCATCTAAAATTAACCAATCTGATCTGAAGACAATGCATTCTTATGTTTAGTTATTAAACAGGAGGACGATCTAACCATTAATATTCTGAAGTAACTAGCTTCCAGGTAATTGTAGTGAGTTACCTCAGTTACTTCTCACGTAACCTAATGCTGAAAAGTTTAAGAACTTTTTGATAAATTTGACAGAATAATAATTCCGGATTTAAGTAGTTAATCGAATCAAACGCTGTGGCTTCATTATATGCCCTTTAGTGTCGCAGCTGCCAGCAAGAGGCCTGAAAGCAACGAATAATGGCTCTTGCATATGTAAGCTCAATTCATGTTTAAAAAAATAGCTGATAAACAAATTTGTATCAAATAGCATGGAATTCTAAATAAACACATTAAAAACGCATTACATTTCAATATCCTGATTCAGTTTTATACATGGTAACAAATATTTAGCATACCTTTGCATAGAAGCAGCCTCTATGTCGATTATTTTGTAAAGTGTCAGCTATAATTGTAATATGAAAAATCTTTTTCTCTCATCAGCGGAGGCATGTAGCTTGGTTGCGGCGATTTTTTTTCATAGTTGAGCAAAATTGGAATTTTCATAGATCACTTAGGTTTTTATTGGAATAATTCATTGATGTGAAATCAAATAAACAGAATTTTGAATACATGTTTGAGCAAATTTGAGTTCCTCAATTTACGAGGCTTTACGGGAAATATGGAAACGCATCCGTAATTTTGGAATATTTTCGTAAAATATGTATAGAAACCACGTGAAAAAAGGCTTGTGATCTCCACGAAAAAGATATTTGTTATCTTAAAATTCGCTACACGTACATGGAAATTTTCGTGAAATGTTGTTTATTAAATATAATTATTAATTCGCACCATTGAGATCTCAAGGGATGACACGATCTTTTTTAACTGAAAATTCGAACTGCCATTTTTGGGCTGTGTTTCTCTTCCATATTTTCCTGTTTCTTTTGTGAACAAACTGTTACAAAGGAAACTGTGCTACAAACTGTTACATCATGAATATCTTCTTGAACAGCTTTAGTTTTTCATCCCCTCTTGGTTACACATCAGAATATTATTCAAAATATAAGTAATGCGATAAATTTTCATTGACAAACCCACGACCCAAGTTTTTTCAATTTAAAATTTCAAAGGATAGAGCATTCGTCAGTCATTGATTCGGATGGTGAGAACAGAGTTAACAAACTTCTATGCAGCACCGCTGAAAAGCCATCAAAAATTAATGTAAAAGCTTTGTGTGACGTCATCGTCAGTCATTTAGCAGGAAATTTATTTTCTCTTAACGCCAAGCATCATTAACAAGCTGTCAGCTACAACAGGACTATACAGTCAATCACTAGGTGACAGTTTTTCAATTAACAAACAAGAGGCAAATCATAGTTCCGACGTGACCCTTTCGTCCTGCTAATAAGATTTGAGCTTTTCTGCGACTTTTTCATCGGCACGCGCTGTTTACGTTCAATTATCCACGAACTAATGACTAAATTGCTCTCAATTCATAGCACCAATAACTCTAAGCCACATGAATTTCTTAACCTAGATTCCCTGCATTCATAAGTGCCCTCCCTCCTTGCCTCCTTGTCATATGTGTTATTTCCGTACAATGTGTTTGATATTATTCACTGAGTAATGAATAAATTGCACACCACCTATAAAACCAAATGAGCATGAGACTCAGAAGCATCTAAGTGCAAGTTCGATGCTTTTTATATGTCATCTATTATCCCATGCTATTATTCACCGAGAAACTAGTACATACCAGAGACTTATAGAGCCACTAATTACCTACAAACATCTAACATCTCTGTATGCAGAGGCATTGCATAGCTTCTTGTCCACGCCACGCATTGTGGACCGCCGAGGCTGAGCCGCGTGGAATGCAAACCGCCAGATTCGCTTTCAAATGCACTGCATAATTTGCTCGTTGCAATCCATGAGTGAGTGCATTCCTTATTTACACCTCGCGAGAATTTTAAGTCTACGAATTATCCTATCGATCAAAGATGGTGGCGAGATGAGGTATTTCTTTTGTAAATGCCACGCATATCCCGAAGAATAATTGCATACAAGCTGTCACGCCTCTTGGTCATCGGCAAAACGTCTTCATTGTTAGCTGTCGATTGCTCTTCTGAAAAGAGGAGTATTGCAACTAAATTTCTTAATTTTGAGTTCAATATAATAAATGTTTTAAAATTAAAGGTGAGGAACTCTGCGCATTAATGTCCGCCAAGGTTCAAAAGAAGGGAGAGGGTGTAATTTAATGACCAATTTTGCAGGAGCGCACGCGTGTCCATTATTTATTTATTTGTGATAATTATCAGGCAATAAATTGACATAGTGATGTAATTGTTTTTAAATATTGAATATAATTAATTTATTAACAATACTGGACTAAAGGAGCATTGCTGAAACGTGGTGAGAACAGAGTTAACAATTGTGTGACAAGTGACTTGATCAAGTGACAAGTCTGATCAAGTGACAAGTCACTTGATCAGACAAATCTAATTCTCGATTTATGATTTATTAAATCATTATGATTTTTATTCAATTTTTATTCATTCCATTTGACGATTTGAAACGAGGACAAGTAATGGGACGAGGACAATTTCCTAAGATTGGGAACAGAGTATATGCAAGTAAC